TTCACTGTTCCACCCTATAGGAAAATATTTGAATAGGCACATAAGCAAGATTTCCAACTTTCAAGCAAAATTTCAGTCCTTTCAAACTGCCAACTCTCAAAAATCAACTTTGCAAACTTTTAAGTATGTATACAAAAACAGAGAGTATTTCTCCCTTCTCCCTACCTCAGTTTAGGACATCTAAATGCCATTTCAACCAACACATCCATTATCAACCAAATAAAAAAAACAACTTGTGCTGGGTGCTATATTTAATATTCTAATTTGAAACAACTAGGAAAATGCCTATTGCATTCCTTTGTTTCACCGAAAGCCCTGAACAAGCTACGGACAAACAATCCCCTACATTTCTCATATGAAGTGTGGCTTGTCTCTGTCTCTATGTGAAGGCACCTGTAAAGTAACAGGAACAGGTTGAAGGTTGCCACTCAAAGAATTTTGGTTACACAGCTCCCATATTCTTCCAACACACATTTAAAATCCTTATATAATCTGCCTTGGGGACCTCCTCGACAATAAAATGAAACAAAATCTGCACATATACCCAAAATACAATTGGTATAAGATCCATTAAGTGTCAGGAATCGGCTTGATGGATTTTTACCCCGGGGTTAAACCGAGAGTTAACCCACAGGTATGATATCCGATAACAAAGTTTATTTATCACAACAGTTCATCAGAAAGAGCACTGGGCAGGCCCAGAAACTGGGGTCCCTGTTCCCAACTCTGCCCCACCGGAGTGATGCTATGTGGTTTGGAAGATAAAACATCCAAACATCAATTCCACTAACACAAAACCTGGACTGAACTCCAATACTGGCAAAACAGCATCCTCCTCCCCTTCCCATCCCCCAGACTCACGAACAGAGTCAGAGGCTTTCTTAGTTAATATAGGAGAGAAAATTTCTCACTTGAAAGTCTTCTAGGGATTTCTTTTGGTAAATCATTTGGCCTTTCCCTCTGAACATCAGCAAAATAGACCCATTTACAAAAAGTGAAATGACTGCAGTTCGTGATAAATATAAAGAGAATACTGAAAAGCCAATCTCCAGGTCAAGAAACATACATTAATTTGTCTATCAACTACCATTTGAAGGCTACCTGGCAAAAGAAACGCGTTTACATCTAAACACCAAAAGGCTATATACCACTACAATAACATATGTAAACATCTGAAGCATTTAACCTGGCCTCTGAAACAACTGAAATGAAAAAAATATATTATGGATCTGTCGATATATAATTATTTTACCATATTAATGTGATTTCTGTGGAAATTATTGCACTACATTACCAAAACTGGTATGTCACTGGGAAATCTAATGGTAGGTACCAGCAACATAGGAGAAATGCTAAGGAAAAAAGTGTTTCAGAACAAGGAAAGTGGGACACCTGCATGGCTCAGGGGTTAAGCGTCTGCCTTTGGCTCAGGTCGTGATCCCAGGGTCCTGGGTTCAAGTTCCGCATCAGGCTCCCTGAGCCTGCTTCACCCTCTCTCTGCCTAGGTCTCTGCCTCTCTCTGTATATCTCTCATGAATAAATTTTGTTTTAAATCTTTAAAAAAAGAACGAGGAAAGTTCTACAGAAATGGGAGTTTATAATTCTGCATTAATAAGTGTCTTCTCTTGTGAAAACCACCTCAAAAGTAGCAGGGGCTGTTGTGAAGATTAAACCAATTGACACACGTTAAACACACACAACAGTGCCTGGCACATGGCAAGTGCTCATCAGGCCCTGGCTGGCACTGACTCTAAAGCTGACCTAGCGCTGCCATAAGACCATAATAAAATTGTCTGTCAGTTAACATCAGAAGATTCAGGGCTATCCTTTCCAGGTGACTACATAAGAGTATATGCTGTATAAAACCAGGATTCAGAATACCAATGCACACTCCTGAAACCTGGAGTTAAAAACAGGGCAACTCCAAATGATTTAAATATTCTAACACAAATCTACAAAAATTCATTATGTGCAAATTTATGTCAAGAAAATAAAAAATGCAAGTCAAATTATAAAACCGATTTGGTCAAAACAAATTAAATGGTTTCTTTTTCTGCCTTGTCTTTTACGGTATTCAAATATAAATTATTGTAAATTAAGTATCTTTTAATGCTTAAAACGTAATCACACTATTAAGACAAGATTCTATCAAATCATGCTAAAAATGCAATTAACACGAGTTAACAATAATTGTGTTATCTTCCCAAGGATGAATTCTTTGAACTAAAAAGTGTAACAAAAGAAAGCGTAGCTATCTTTTCACAAAAATATGCAAACTTCATCAAGTAAACTCTAAACTTCCACAATATCAATTTGTAAAACAGGTTCCTCTTTTTCAAGAAACCTAAATTGTTGGAAATTTCCATTGAATTTTTAAGAAATAAAATCTCTTATATGTTTAAATCAAAAGCCAGAGTTTAAAGAATCTTAAATCCCTACTTTGCACAAGAGTCTATTATGCTAAGTACATCTGTCCTATGATATGTCTAACCAGAACATATTTAGATTTGCCATGATTCTGAAAACAAATTCTCATATCTAACAGTAGTAATCTTGTGAATGAAATGTAAATAAGAAAAGTTTTTTAATCAAACTAGCTCCTGGCACACAGTTCATACTCTAATACTTGCTGGAATGAATGAAATCTTATTTAAAATATTTTTACAGCTATAAAATTACATAAACTGGAAGTCCAAAGCTGAACCCCCTTAAGTACCTTTACATACACAACTTAGAGTTGTCAAACTAAAAATTAATTTTAAGTTGGAAAACTCACTAAAGTAATCATTACAGAAGTAATCATTACAGAAAGACTAAGTATAGAGGGCAAAATGAATAGAAATAACAGTTTCCTAAGTTTTTTGGTAGAAATACTTTGGACTAGGTATTTTTTTAATTCTGTAGGAAAACCTACTACTGAAAACACATACCGCAAACATACAACAGAACGCTACAGCTGTACATTCATCTAAATTCCAGTGCTGTCTCATTCATGTGATATATGCACTCCCTCACTTTAAAATTAGAAGCTCAAGCCAATCAAAGATATTGGGGTCAGCCCTAGTGAGACAAACAAGAAGCAGATCTTCAAATACAACCTCCTCGGTAAACTTTCAAAATCAAGATTGTGTGTTGGCAAAAGAAAAAAAGAATAAAAAAAAAAAAAACCAACAGTCCCGATATATATACTCCAAATTATTATGCATTCACCTTAAAAAGCTAATAGTTTAGTAAAAACTAGACTTCATGATTAAAAAAACAAACAAAAAAAAACAAAAACAAAAAAAAACAAACACGTTCACGTTTTACACAACCACTTCCTGGATGTGTGTATTGGTTTTGGACCACCACCTCCTGGAATATTCATATTCATTTATACATATTTTGCAAGGTTATTTAAGTTCTGAAAACAAACTTTCCTAAACCATGTTTATTGGTCTCATCTAGCTTTGGCTTTTTCAACTATTTCCTAACAATGTATAACCTAATTTAATGAGCTTCCACCAAAAACCAAACCCCAGGGGTTGGCTAGTAATTTACAGCCTACTAAAACATATAAAATGACCATGCCTTTACAAATATGGAACATATGTCTAACTTGATGATTTGAAGCAGTTGGCAAGGTATTATTAACTGCAAGAAGTCATCATCTCACATGTTTTTGCTACAAGATGAACTAGAAAAGTGTGAACATTTTCTTAATGGTACTACTTAATACAGATACATAGGTTTCGCTGCGAATTTCTACTTTAAAACGTAATCAATTACAAACTACTGGGCTCTCGACCAATTACCACACTGGTGAAATGGGTTGGTTTTATTTTCACAACGTTCTCTTGATGTAAGAAATGGGAGCATCCTACCCTGGGCTTATGGGTAAGCCTTTCCCCCTGCTTTCAGAAAATACACAGTAAATACCGGTTTTGAAACCCTGGCCCCAAAGAGACTCAATTCAGCCTAAGTGAAGCTCCCCGGGTAATCCCAAACAAGGAATGACCCCGCCTGGAAGTCAGGGTGTACACGGCGACCAGCTAGGCTTCAACTTTGGGCTCTTAGGGCCCAGCAAGCATCATGGCTGATGCAGACCGATGCGCAGGAGGAGGAGGAGGAGGTGGACGAGGAAGAGGCTGGTTTGTTTACTTGCAGCCTGAGCCGCCGCCGCGCCAGCAGCGACAGCATCACTGGATCCGCCAAACCCAGCATCTTCCGCACATTTCTATTCTTAGCACACAACTCCCAAGCGGATTAAAACCCCACTACTATTAAAAACACAGACGAGCACGTTACCCACCTCCCACACACACACACACACACACACACACACACACCGGCCCCCCCCCCCGGGGCCGTCTTTTCCTGCGCGCCGGCAGCACGGGAGGGTGGGGAGGAAGGAGACCCCGGGGGACGCCGGTGCATCCTCGCCTGCACCGCACCCCGCGCGCGCAGACAGCCCCCGCGCCGGGGAGCGCGGCAGACGGCCCCCTCCCCCCAACCCAAACACGCCGGCACGGGCCGTCCCCGCGTTATATAAGCCCGCCGCCGCCCCCGCCGCCCCCGCCGCCCCCGCCGCCCCCGCCGCCGCCCCCGCCCGGCCGGGGCCCCCTCCCCACGCCGCGCGGCCAGGGCCGGCGGGGAGCGGGCGCTGCGCAGGGGCTGGAGGCGCCAGGGCCGGGGCAGCGCAGACGCGGCCGGTACCGCTAGGCCGGGAACACCCTCCCCGGCCCCCCGCGCGCCGCCGCCCCCCAGCTTCCCCCGGAAAGTGAGGGGGTGCCGGTGTCAGCGGCGCCGGGCGTCCCCCGGCCTCCACACCCACACCCACGCCCGAGCCTCCGGTGACCCAGCCCCCGCCCACGCCCCCGGCGCGGTGACAACCCAGACGCCCCCGCCTCCCCCGCCTCCCCCCACACCCGCCCCCCCGCCCTAGGGAGGCCCGGGGCCGGGGGCCCGGAGGGAGAGGAGGCCCGGCGGGGAGGGGGCGAGCGGGGGGCGGTGGCTGTTACCTGCAAAGGCGGCGGCGGCGGCGGCGGCGGCGGCGGCCCCGCAGCTGCTCGGGCGGCGGCGGAGGATGGAGCCGGGGGGGCGGGGGGAGGAGAGGGGGCGACTCGGGGGTCCCCCCTCCCTCCTCCTCCCCTCCTGTCCTCCCCCCACCCCGCAGAGCCTCTGGCCCCCCTGGAGCCCGGTGCGGCCGGCGGGAGGGCAGGCGAAGGCTGCAGGGGAGGGAGGAGGGAGCCGGCCGGGCCGGGCCGCGGAGCTGGAGCGGGAGGCGGCGGCGGCGGCGGCGGCGGCGGCGGCGGCGGGAGGGGAGGGCGGAGGGAGGGAGGGCGGGCGGCGGCGGCGGGGGGAGGAGGAGGCGGAGACTCTACATGGGAATCGGATATCGGCTACAAATTCAATTCATCACCAGAAAACACCGCTCGGGCGGGGGTCGGGTCACGCCGGCGAGGCGGCGGCGGGCGGAGGCTGCGGGGCCCGGGGCGCGCCCGGCGCGGGTCGGGGGCCCGCGGCCTCCTCTGGGGGGGAGGGGGGCCGCGCCTCGCCCGGGGGACCCCGCCGCCGCCTCCCCGCCCCCTCCTTCCTCCCTCCCGGGCCCCGCCGCTGATCGCTGCTCGTCGCCGCCGCCGCCGCCGCCGCCGCGGGGCTTGTTGTTGACTTTGAGGAAAACTCCTGACGTCAGGGGCTGGCTCTCGGCGACTGGCGGGAGCGGCTTCCCCGCGTCCCCGGCCCTGCCGCCGCCTCGGCTCCCCTCCCTGCCGCGCCCTCGTCCGCAGGCTTCCCCGCGCCCCCCAACCCGCGGCGCCCCGCGCCCCCTCTCCTCTCGCGAGAACATCCCCCCCAGCCCGCCGGAGCCGGCAGCGGGGGCAGGCGCTCCCGGGCGGGAAGTTCTGGCGGTGCCGGCGCCCTCGTGGCCCGCGGCGGCCCCCCGAGGCCCGGCGGCGCCCCCGGGGAGGTGGGCGGGCCGCGCCCCCCGCGCCCCCGCGCCCCCCGGGCTCGGCCCCGAGCGCGGAGCCTGCTCGGCTGTCGGCGGAGACCTGGCCGCGCGGGCCGAGCACGCCTCTCCGGGGAGCCGCGGCCGCGCGGGACCGGCGGGACTCTTCGAACGACGCCCTTCTTAGGGATATTAGTTTGCGTGGACTTGGGGGAAGCCATGATGTTCTGCCTTCACTACGGAGGAGAAACCCATCTCTTTCCTTTGAAGTTCACGGCTCCTGAGACTGTTTGCAGTGGAGGCACGGCTTGTGCAAATGGCCATGCTCTCCTGTCCATCACGGTCCGTAAAGTTATCAAAGAAGTTGTTGGGTTTGGTTTGGTTGGGTTTGGTTTGGTTTGGTTTGTTTTTTTGTTTTTGTTTTTGTTTTTTTCTGACACCATGTTGTGTCGCTTCTGGAACACTTTGCAAGGACCTGTATTGTCTCACCACGTGGCTGTCGCTGTGGGGGTACCTGTTATTTCTCCCAACGCCAGATTCCTGGTGGTGCCCCCGGCTCCCTTCCGTAGAATTCCTCCCGGACAAGCGCGCTTCCCCGCTTCCCCGCTTCCCCGCGGCCTGCCTACCTGCGACAGCAGCCGAGCTCTCCTCCTGTGGGTGCACCACAGCATGAAACCTAAGAGGAAAAAGGGGGAGGAACGGGGGCTAAGTCCGTTTTCCCCACCTGTCGGGGACGAGGCCACAACAAAATCTGCCTTCCTTAAGATACACAAGTCTCCCTGGTGGAAAAGTCCTCAGTTGCTGCTTTTCCCCTTTCCCCATAGTTCCCAACACATCAAGAACTGGTTAGTGAACATAGACTGTTTCCTGATACAGTGTATCGGTGTGTAACGTACACAGTTTATTCCCATAATCATCAGACCTCTAACAGTCCCTCTTGGCAAAGCCGTTCGGTTACAGATTTCTTGCTGTAAAACACAGCAATGGGTCACATTTTTATTCTATAATAATCCAATCCACTTATCTTTAAGAAAATAGCGCCTATGACACCAGAGCTTAAAAGTGTCGCCAAAGCTCTTGTAAAATATTCGACTCCGATAGGCGTGGTGTTCTGAATTACTAGAATCTCTTATTAATTTTGATTTTCATTTGTTTCCAATTTGAACATCAACATCTTTGTGAGAACCAAATCTGTCCTATAAGCCATACTGCCCCAAAATATTTCTCCTGGTCTCACCATATTGTATTATATATCTTTGCCGATTAAATCCTAAAATTAAGTATTATATAAACTACAGTGGATTATATACTCCGAGCTTCATGTATTTGAAAAATGATAAACTTTTATTTCTGTTATAGTAGTTTCATAAATCTCTATAATAAAAGCATGTCAGCTTTTATTACAGAATTACTATTATTTATTATGGAACTATTTATTTAAATAGCATTATTCTTTCCCTTAGACCATGCTATCATGAATTTGGCAGAATCTGACCATTATGGCATAATGGTACTCCATTCGGAGCATATGCTAGATTTCTCCTCTTCACTGTCAACACATCACAGTCACACAGGGAGCAGAGCACGTTTAGCCATGAGAATGTCCCTCCTAAACTTCAGGGAGAAAGCCCTCATTCTTTCTTAAGCCGGATATTCTTGGCTAACATCTCTCAGTTGTAGTAATTTATGCATCTTAAGAAAACTCTTCACTCTTCTTGACTACCAATGACTAAATTAGATACTGAGAGCTATTTCTAAGTACTTCTACCATTTGGGGGGGAGTTACTTAAACTGGAAGATACATTTAAAATTTCAGGACAGGGCAACCGGGGTGGCTCAGCGGTATAGTGCCGCCTTCAGCCTGGGGTGTGATCCTGGGGATCCAGGATCGAGTCCCACATGGGGCTCCCACCTGCATGGATTCTGCTTTTCCCTCTGCCTGTGTCTCTGCTTCTCTCTCTCTCTCTCATGAATAAATAAATAAATAAAATCTTTAAAAAAATAGAATAAAATTTCAGGACAGTGCCACTTCTCTGCCTTAATAAAAAGTTTATCTTTGTCTCTGGTGTCTAGGACAGGACATGGCACAAAGCATACACAGAGTGTTTGTTGAATAAATTAATGAATGAACAAATGAAAAAAATCTGTACCCTGTGTACAGTTTATACAATACTTTCCTCTTGAGATGGCTTATTGGCAAGATCATAAATGCACTTTGGAGACCTGCAGACCTGAGTTCAAATCCTCTCTCAGCAGAATTTATATGTCAGGCAAGTTGCTTAACTTTTCTAAGCCTTAATTTCCTCCTTTGTGAACTGACAGTTACAACTACTCAACGGCTTATTATGAGAATTAAATGTAGTGAAATATTAGACAGTATCTAAAACGTAGTAAGTGCACACCAAGCTGAAATTCCTTTATCCTAAATGTGAATGTATTCATTAACATAACACTAGCTGCTACGATAAATCAACACAAAAATCTATCCATGCACACAATAACAGAGGTGTAGCTCTCATCCATGTAAAGTCCTGAATACAGGGAAGGCTCCTCCAAACATTTATTCTTATAAATACTTAGGACCCATGTTTCTTCTGTGTCAGAGCTCTGACACGTTCAGAGCATAACTGTGACATCAAGCAGGCAGAAAAGGGGAAAGCATGGAGATCTCTCAAGTAAGGTTTCCGCACCTCACTTCCACTCACGTTCCATTGGCCAGAATTCTCCTCCAGATCCACCTAAGTGCAAGGCAGGCCATGAAATGGAGTCTAGCCCCGGAAAGGAAAAAAAAAAAAAAATTAGTTTTGATGAACAGCCAGGGAGTCTCTGTCACAGTTGGTTTCTGAAATAACCACATTAAGGCCATTTTCAAAAGACCAGAAGAGTAAGTAGCAGAAGGGTCGATTGCAATAATTATTAGTACAAATTTTCTTTTTTGAGGATGTCTTTTTTAAGGTATAGGTCAAATGTCTGTGTTAGTAACACATGAGAATACCTGAAGACAGATATGCCACCAATCTGGGATGCTTAAAGCCCTCTGGAAACCTCCCTCTTATTTCGTCATCAAATTTTCTCTCCCAGCTATGTTACTCCATTTGCATGAACATTATTTTTCCATTCATATTGTCCTTCTTTGTCTTGGACAACTAAGTCTAATAGCAAGCAAAGCAATCTCTGGACATTATATGCAGTCTTTCAGGACACTTGAGTCACAGAAATTACTGTCCACAGTTAAATAAGTGCTCAGAGCTAGAATTCATGATCTAATTCCAAAGCAACCAGCATACATAATTATTATTCCTGGCTGTGCAGGAGAATCAAGGTAAGCAATAAAATTAACACATTCATATTATATTCCCAGAACATCATTTGAGGACATAATTTTTAACTTCGCAAGATGGTGTATGCATTTAGGTGTTTCAGAACCTGCTCTGTGGGGACTGAACTTCTCAACAGGACAACTTGCAGTAAGTCATGACAATGATTTTCTAACCATCCCCTAGATAATTACCCCAACCCTTCTTCAGTTGTCTCAGATAAGTACAGTACATGAAGGTCAGATAGATTTTTTTTTAATAGCATACGACTGCCTTGAGTTTTCTTTGATGTCTGTGATTGCCAAAGAGGAGTTGCCTTGCTTTGTTTTATATCAAAGTATAAACAATCTAGAAAATGATGGTCTTTGGGATAAAGGATCGGTATCCAAAATATATAAAGAACTGATGCAACTCAACACCCAGAAAATAAATAATCCAATTTAAAAAGGGGGAGAAGACTTGAACAGATATTTCTCCAAAGACGACATCCAGATGATCAACAGACACATGAGAAGATGCTCAACATCACTAATTGTCAAGGAAATGCATTACAAAACTACAATGAGATACCACCTCACAGCTGTCAGAATGGCTAAAATTAACAACACAAGACACAACAGGTATTGGTGAGGATGGGGAGAAAGGAACCCTCATGCACTGTTGGCAAGCTAGTTGCAGCCATTGTGGAAAACAGTATAAAGGTTTCTCAAAAATTTAAAACTAGAACTACCCTACAATCCAGTAATCACACTACTCAGTATTTCCCCAAAAAATACAAAAACACTAATGCAAAGGGATACATGCACCCCTATGTTTATACAGCAGTGTATGCAATGGCCAAGATATGGAAACAGCCTAAGTGTCCAACAATTAATGAATGCATAAAGATATGGTGTGTGTATATATATATATATATATGAATATTTTGCAGCCATAAAAAAGAATGAAATCTTACCATTTGCAATGGCATGGATGGAGCTAAAGAATATAATGCTAAGGGAAGTAA